GGTTGATTAGAATTTTTTTACAAAAAGTTAAAAATTATGAGTATTTCTATTTCTATGCTTTAAACTCGATTTTTGGTGTTAAGGTACAAGCCTGGATAGTGTAGGACTTTTGTTTCTGGAACTAAACCCTTTTTTATTTTTTTTTTATTTTTGTAAAATAAATTTATTATTTTATTAATATTTTTAAAATTTAAAGACAATCCGAAAGAGGCAAAAATTGGTATTCACATTATTTAATAACTTTACTTTTTTAAAAGATGAAATTGGTTCAAATAATTTTGAAAAGTGAATTAAGTTTTTTTTTATTGAATAAACATTTTATCTATTGCTTGGCTGGAGAGACTTGAATGTCTTCATACCATACAACCCATTGATTATGGAAATTCATAAATATGCATAAAATTTAAACTGACTTGATTTAAAGTTAGGTATTTAATTTTAAATTATTAAATATAATTTAAAAATATATTAAAAATATATATATATTTTTAATAAAAGATTATAAGAATTAATTTTATAATTTTAAATCAAAATCACAAAATATAATAAAAATCTATACAGGCCACACTAATTTAATTTTTTTATGTAAAATATTCTTACTAGCAATTTAATTATATAAGAGAAAAAAAATAGTATTTTAGTACACATGAGTGTAATAATAAATAAGTTGAAATGCTTGAACTTTTCTTATTATTTTAGGCTTCAATGCCAAAATGAAGCAGCTCAAGAAAAATGGTGGAGGCAACCCAACTATCTTATTTGTAAGAGATTCAAACTAAGCATGATACTTTTTAAAAAATGCAATTTTGCACAATTTGAATAGTGAACTCTTAGCGAACCTAAGTTCCAATGCATTGATGGGTTAAGAAATCAATTGACCATTAGAGTGCATCCATTGGAACCAACTAAGGGTCTCTCCCTCCTGTAGAAGGAAGCTATTATGATGCGTTGGTCCTTTGAGGAGTTTGATGGTACTCAAAGAACTGGTTAATTTTGAATATCCATCTCAACATGCTCAATCTGTTGAATTGTGGAACATCTAATTTTAAGGTGGTGTAGGTTTCAAGGATTGAATGGCCTCCATTGTGGCAAGAAGTCATTATAAGTTGGTAATTCTAGTGGAAATTTCATTTTAGAAGGACCTCTGACTTTCAAGAAGGTCTAGCTTATCAGTGTATTTAGGGTGTCTGACCATATGCTACTCTCTTAGGCTTTTTTGCCCTTTTAGAGTTAATTTCAAAAAAATTATCTAAATAAGGTTTCATGGGAACAAATTCCCGGTCTAGGGTTGTGATTCACGTGGCAAGAGAGTCGTCTCTCTTCTGGACGACACAGGTGCTGACGTGTCAAAATATGACAATGTCGTCTCCTAATAGGACGACACTCACCAAATCGCGACACGTGTCATGCCAGGAACTAGTGTTGTCTTATTTGGAACGATTTTAGTAGTACTCACTGCAGAGTCGATTTTACTGCGACCAGTGGATAAAAATTTTGATACATTCTTTTGTCCAAGTTAGAATCTGTATAAATATGACCATGGAGCTCGGGAAAAAATTGCATTGGCTTGGTAAGAGATAGGAAGTGTGCAGCAAGGATAGAAATCACAATCAGGTTAGATTTTAAGCATTACAAATATATAATTTATTTTTAATGGTTATTAAGAATTTTTACTTTGCATAATAATATTTAAATTATTTGTTTAATGGCTATTAAGTGTTAAAGTTGTAATTTAATTTTTTTGTGTTATTTAAAAATTAAATATGTAAATATTTGTAATTAGAAATGAACTTTTAAATATAATTTATTATATTATAAATTAATTTTTAAATGAGCTTGGCTTATTTTTAATGCAGGATGAATGAAATTGTTGTTATATTATATTCAAATGGTAGAATATATGAAAGAAATGAGGATATAATTTTTGAAGGGGAGAAAAAGATGATTAAGATAGAACGTGAGATCACATTTGAGATGTTTAAAAGGAAGATCCATACAAAACTGAAACTGTCTAGTTATCACGTAATTTTTAGATTAATTTCACGAATTTTAGTTGGAACAAATGGTCGATATCATACAGCTCTAGATGTATGTGACGATGAAGACATAGATTGCATGATAAGTGTTTGTCAACAACAATATCATAGGAATGTAGTTGAGATATATGTGGATGTTGCGGTCGGTGAAACATCTTCTGTTGTGGCACGTCCGTTAGAAGTGAATTTATCGCTCTCACATATTCATGGAAGTGATGATGATGATTATGCCACAAGAGAAGGTAATATGAATTTATTTAATTAAAATTTTTAAAATTGATGCTGCAATATTAATTAATAATATAAGTTTACAATGTACAATTTACAGATGAAGATGATGAATATGAAGATGATGAAGATATTTTATTAAATAATTTGTCAGATACTGAGACAGATGATGATTGTGATTCAATGATCAATATGAAAGGTATTGTAAGAGTTAGTTCAACACAACAACAACAAGGAGGTATGATTTTAGATAGTGATTTAAATAATATATTTTCATTACTTATATTTGTAGTAATGTATAAATTGTTAATTAGGGTATAAGTTTGACGAATGAATTGTTGTAATACAGAAACAACATTGCCCTTTTGGAATATAAGTCCACATTACAGTCATATTAATTGGGAACACCCTGATCAAGAATTAGATTTTGTTGGTATGAATGACGCGCAATCATGGAAGGAAGGAGATGCGTTATATGTTGAACAACTATTTGACACTAAAGAAAATGTAAGAATGCTGTAAAACATTACGCCATGAGGAAACATCAAACTTTTGTTGTGGTGGAGTCAAAAGCAACAACATATGTTGTGAAGTGTGTCAATTACAGTAGTGGATGTTCTTGGAGAGTTTGAGCATCCTTGCCAAAAAATGCAGACAAGTGAAAAATTATAAAGTGGGGTGGTGCCCATACGTGCGTAAATGCTTCAATCTCTCAAGACCACCAAAAGTTGGATTCTAAATTTATTTGCTCATGCATTCTTGGTATGTCTAATCTTATATTAAATTTTATTATTTTGAAATAGAAAAAATATACTAATTTTCATCTTATTACATCCTAACAAATTTAAAAACTCTCTCATTATATGCGATGCAGGTATGGTGAAAGAAGAACCATCGGTCTTGATTTCGTTAATTCAAGAGAGAATTAGTGGTTAATTTGGATATTCAATTTCGTACAAGAAGGCATGGAAAACAAAACAAAAAGCAATAGTTACTGTCTTTGGTGATTGGGATGAATCTTATGCAGCATTGCCAAGATGGCTAGAGTACATGCAATTACATGCTCCTGGATCTGTATACAAAATTGAAACAAATGATTATGTTGAAGGTCACACCGTGGATAATAGATATCGAGTTTTTCATCGGTTGTATTGGTCGTTCAAGCAATGTCATGAAGCTTTCAACTTTTGTAAGCCTATAATACAGGTAGATGGAACATTTTTGTACGGTAAGTACCGACAAACTTTGCTAATTGCTACGACTCAAGATGGAAACAACTATGTGCTTCCCATTGCATTTGCCATTGTCGAAGGAGAAATGTTATCTGCATGGGAATGGTTTTTAGCCATGATTCGTATACATGTGACAAATAAGGCAGGGCTATGTTTGATCTCAGATCGACATCAAAGTATAAAAGATGCAGTCTCTAACCCACATCTAGGTTGGCAACCTCCAAATGCTTATCATGTTTATTGCATTCGTTACATTGCAAGCAATTTCAATCGACGATTCAAAAATACCATGTTGAAGAAAAAAATAATTCAATTAGGTACATATTCTGCCCATTTGATTCATTTAAGTTTTAATAGATTTTGAATTTTTAACCTGTACATTATACCTTTTTCTATTAAATGCAGGATATACACCATCAAAACAGATTTTTGAATCTAAGCTTAATACATTTCGATCACAATCACCTGAAATTCAGACTTGGATAGATAATATATCAAAGGAAAAGTGGAGCTTGGCTTATGATGATGAAGGACGTCGTTATGGACACATCACTACTAATTTGTCTGAGTCTGTAAATAAAGTTTTGAAAGGGACAAGAAACCTTCCTATTACTGCCTTGGTCAAAGCTACGTATGCCCGATTGGTAGAATATTTTGTGAAGCGTGGTGAAACTGCAATGCATGAGGTTAACAATGGAGGAAGATACTGTCAGAAATTAATGGAAGCTATGGAAAAAAATCAACAAGAAGCATCTTCACATCAAGTTCGGCGGTATGACATACAAAGAACAAAGTTTGAGGTTGAGGAAGCTTTTAATCCAGTGACACAAAGGGGTGGTCATAAGTGGACAGTCATATTATCAACACGTTATTGTGAATGCGAAAAATTTAAGGCTCTCTGATATCCATGCTCACATGTCATAGCTGTTTGTGCTCATATGAGTATAGACTTTTGGCAATTTGTGGATCCTGTTTATACTTTACATAATGTTGCGAATGCATATTCATCTCAGTGGTGGCCTCTTGGAAATGAAAATAATATTTTACAAAATACTGAGTGGAAGTTAGTGCCAGATGTAGAAAGAGCACGAGGTAAAGGAAGACCAAAGGCTACTCGAATTAGGAATGAAATGGATTGGGTCGAGTCACAACTACGACAAAGATGTAGGTTGTGTAGACAGTCTGGTCATAATCAACGTCAATGTCCTCAACATAATGATCGTAATCATCACCAGGTGTAAGAACTTGTTGCGTTTCACTTCAAATTGTTGTTGTTAATGTTATTAAAGTGTACTGTGATATTATGTTGTTAATGTGACCATATGTATTAACGTATCTTTTTATTAATGTCAATGAGAGTGTAACGCATATTTCCTTGTTAATGTGATTAACAACATTGTCTTAGGTAATAAGTCAAGTAATATAGTATGGTAATATATCATGTGGTAGAATATTAATAAAAAGTGCAACATAATATGTTTGTAAATACATAAATAACAAGATATCAATCTGAATCCAAGGATTGGTCCGCATGCCCTGCCTCATGAGGTGTGAGTATGCACTGTCGACGACGATCTCGTGCTTCACGATGAGGGTTCCGACGCACTTCTTGTACCTCCACATCAGCAGCAATTATAAAATTTGCATTAAGATCAATGCCATGCTCCTCACGTGGTTGGACTGATGATGTTTCCCATCCCTGGTCACTCTGATGACCTCCTACAGCTGGTGCATCAGGCATAAAGAATGATGGCTCATATGGAGGAGGTGTCATGTAGAGGCTACCCTCGGGGACATAGTATTGACCACTGCTAAATGGCGATACAGCAGGCTGTGAAGTGTACTGTGATGCGTGAAAATAGGATGTCTGAGTAGCCTGGGAAGGGTTGAAGGGAAACTGTGGTGGGACATAATATATGCCGTCTCTGCGTTCTGGCAAAGGGGGAAGTGACCACTCTGTTGCCTACAATTTGTCCCACGAGAAACATGTAAGCACACAAGACATACTCATATGATGGTAAAAAGAAATATAATAGTGTATTACCTTAACTTCTGTTCGATGACGTTGCAAACCTTTTCCTTCCTTACGGTCTGCAGGTTGACCAATGTCAATGTCCAGATCAGCTGGATTTCCACTCTGAATAGGAGGGTCAAACGAAGAAGCAGGCTCTAAGATGCGCTCCTGCTCATTCTGTAGTGAGAGCATGGTCTCACACAACTCATTCATCTCCTCAAATAAAAATGAGTCTTTACCATCATTACACAAGTAATATGCTCTTCATGAGCATCTCCCTGCAATAAGACAATATAAATCTTGATCAAATGTGAAATCAAAATTGATTCAAATAGTGTGCAATTTTGTTAATATTACTTACAAGTACTGCAAATACAGTTGCATCCCTGGTCATCCATTGTCTGGTGTGAGTAATGTACCACCGTATATATTCAGAGTTAGAACTTAACAACCCAATTTGAGGATCATTAGTCATTACCCAGGCTTGTCGCATGTCCCATAGCTCCACTATGCCTCTGAACTTGGTCGACCAATTCTCACCAGTCTTTCCTCTCAAAGTAATGTCGTGTAGCTGGTCAGGTTGGTATGAAGCACGAGAAATATGTTGAACGATCCCAAATTGCCGCATTACACGGTCAGGTCGGTGCCACTCACAAATTTGAAAACATATAAGTGGCACAACTGACCTCCAAATATTTGCTCCTTCAATGCAGATGGCAGGCAAAGAATTCATCAACTCCATACTATACGGTTGCCATACAAACTGCAATTTCAAAGTCCCTCAAATGAATAACAAAGTTGTAAATATTAATTAACCAATGTGAAAATGTTTTGTTCCACGTATATTAACAAAATACCTCCTCACGTTTCATATGATCAAACTTATATCTGTAGTAAGCGAGATCTCTCTTTCCCCTCCCATAACTTCGACTCACTAACCACCTGCAAGACATACATATAAATCAAAATTAGTGTTACATGAGTTTGAAAAGTCAGACATATATGACAAAATACAATCATTCAGAACATACCGTGCACTGTAAGGAAGCTCTACTCGTGTGTGCACAGGATTATTAGACTGTAAAAATGGAAACCTATCCCATGCCCACATCATAAGTAATGGGGTTAATCCTCCAATACCAGAATGCTCAATATTGGTCGACATGCATAAATCTCGGTATAGGAATGCCAATCCTGCAGCTCCCCAACTATATTGTCCTGTGATAGTAAAATCCTCTAGCAATGGAAGGTACCTAACTGGGACTCTACTAGAGGAATGATCAACCAACATGAACCCACCTATCAGTCTCAGAATATAAGCTCTAGCAAAGCGAGTAAGCTGAAGTTCATTATGATTATGCATTGCAACATGTGTAAAGTGTTGGTCCAACCAACTCAACTTCAAACTACTCCCCATAAATGCATCAGCAGGTGGTCTAATACCAAGCAAATCTTTCACAATTTGTGTCTTATCACCTCCTACAGCTGCAATCACTGCCTTTCCATCTATACGAAGCCCTGTCTGAATAGCAATGTCCTGAAGAGTTATAGTACACTCTCCAGGAGGCATGTGGAAGATATGTGTCTCTGGCCTCCATCTTTCAACCAAGGCTGTAATAAGATGTCGATCAATAGGAAAGCATGCCAACTGAGCTACTCCAGCAAATCCAGCTAAAATTAGATGAAGAAGTATCTCCACTAGAACCCCTTCCATGCCAGCCGGTATGAAGTGACTCATTCTCACCTTTAAAACTGGGTGCTCACGTCCATCCCAAATATGCTCCGATACGTGAACAGACTGATACCTCAATAATGAACCATCTTCCGGGTCAGGATTTAAAACCCTACTCTGCGATGAAGATGATGCCATCTGAAATAAATTTTGTCAACTTCAACTGAAATTATGTACATTAAAATGAATAGATTAAAAAAAACATATAAGTTTATCATCTTATTTTTTATTACTACTTGATTTTTATTACAATTATTTAACTATAACAATAACAAAATTTCAAATTAACGTAAAAAACTCTTTCATTTAATTATTATATTAAATAATTTTTAACAATTTAAAAACTTTTAAATATTAATTTACAATTATAATAAATAGCTATAAATGTAATTACATGCACTCAATTAAATCTGATCAACAATTTTTTATTTACTCTAAATTTCAAAAACTAATTATTATTCTTACTACATCTAATTTTTTTGTCACAAATTCTTTATTATATCTTAATTTATCATCAAAATTTAAAAATTTATTATTTCTTTAGGGTCGTATAAACTTTTGGCCATTCTATTGCATTTCATATACTTTTTTTCTCATTACTGTGTTTTTTATTTCTTTTTTCTGAACCGTATATCTTAATATCAAATTTTCTTTCCTCTTAATTTAACAATTAATTAATTACTATAACAATTTATCTTAATATCTTATAATTAAAATATATTATTGACTTACTAAAATTTAAATTTAATACATTCTTTAACTAACAAATTATAAATATTTAATATTATATTATACAATTTCTAATACCATTTATTTAAAATTTTAAATCATAAACGTTCAAGTAAATATGTAATATTTTAAATATATTTGATGATATACTTATTATATTATTTATTGCTATTTTTTAATGAACTTATTTTTTAAAATATATTTATAATATAACTGTATATGTTATTTTTATCAATAGTTTTAATAAAAATATTGTGTTTACACATATTCAAAAACTAAATATTATTTTTACTACTAACGTTATTTTTTGTGTCAACAAATTTTTTTATATATCAATCTACCATGCAAAGAACAAAATTCTTAGTTTCTCTTACATTCATTATTTAATATTTTTACTGCATGTGAATATATATTTTTTCATTATCATGTTTTTTATTATTTTAACTATATTTATTTATATATATTTTTCTTTCCTCTTAATTTATCTATTTATTACAATCAAAATTTTTCTTGTTATTTAATAATTAAACACATATTATGGATTAGTATAATTTATATTTAATACATTTTTAAACAACTAATTATAAAGCAATAACAATTATATTATACAATTTTTCATAGCACTATCTAAAATTTTAGCTAACAAAATATAGAAATTAGTTTTTTTAAATATTTTAAAACAAAAAAATATTTATGCACCTGTGTTAGACTGAACACAATATATATTATCTTCTTCAGGAACTTCACCCACCGCCACTAACCACCGACCGTTACCCACTCACCCAGAAAATGACCTGTACCATAATCTCAATGTAAAATGCAACCAATCTCATATTTAAAAACTAAACTATATTCAATTTATTATTTCCTTTACCTTATAATAATTTTTTCTTCCAATTTCTGAAAGCTCAGACCAAAAACGTAGGCAATGCTATGATTTTTTTTCCAGGAGCCTTTCTGCAACTGAAACGCTAACGGAGAAGAAGAAATGAGGAAGAAGGAGCCGCGCTCAAACGGTCAAACTGCACTGCCAGGTGGACCAATCATGGTTGTGTCGTTCCTAACGCAGGCGACACTAAAGTCGGCTCTAGAGCCGACACTGAAGACGGCTCTGTACCAGCCGACACTGAAGACGGCTTTAAAGCAGCCGACATTGAAGACATCAACCAGCCGACACTCTTACGATTTACACACGTGTCTCATTTTCTTCCCCATCCGTTGATTGTTTTTGAATTATTTTAATTTTTTTTTTCGTTTAATTAGTGTCGTCCAGAAGAGGGACAACTCTCTTGCCACGTGGATTTCCCAACCCTAGACTGAGAATTTGTTTTCATGAAACCTTATTTAGATAAATTTTTTTAAATTAACCCTAAAAGGGCAAAAAAGCCACTCTCTTAACGAGAGCAACATATGTTAGAGCAATACCTATTCTCGAGGAGAGGCTTCCTTCAAAGAAAAAAAAAAAAAAGACAACAAATTGATGTTTTCTCCTTTATTGAATAACACCAAATACATGTAACTTATATTGATATAATTCTATCCTTCTCCACGTATAAATATAGCAATTGAAGGGGAAAAAATAAATATAAAATTATGATCGAAGTTATGCATTGATTTTATAGTTTTAAATACATATACTATATTTAGAAAATAAATATATTTATTCAATACAATTAATAATTAATTTATGTAACTAGTTTTGAGTTTATACTAATATATAATAATAAGATATTATTTTTTATTTAATAAAATATTTTTAATATTGTAATTATAGTGTAATATTACAATAATACTTTTATCATGATATTAGATATATCATATTTGAGTTTAATACAGGCCAAAATACTAATTAAAAGTAAAATTTTCAAATATACTATATATTATATTTAAAAAAGACTATTAAGTCACTCTAATTTTATTTAAAATAGACATTTTATATTAACTCTATTCTAATTCATCTTTTATATTTTATTTTTTATAATAAAATATCATGAACTTTAATTTTGTTTCTAATTGATTGTTAAACTTTATACTTTTTATAAACAGTTAATTTTATAAATTAGGCAAGAATTAAATTGCAAACAGATAATTAAATGAGTGGTTACTTTTTTATTAATAATTTATCTATAATTTATAAATTTTTTATTTTTTACAAAAGGTGTAATGTTTTTAATGATTAATTAAAAATTTAGTTTCTAATTAAAAATAAATATTTTTTTAAGGATTAATTGAGATAAAATAAAATTTAAAGTATTTATTCACAAAGAGATAAAGTTTGAGAAGGTTGAATTATCTTTTTATTTTCTAGTATATATTTATTGAGTATTTTATTCTTCAAGTTATTTTAATTTTGTTATTAACAATGAAAATATTTAATGCATTAATATCAATAAATACTAGTTTTATAAATATTATTTATTTATTATGAATTTAAATATAATAAATTATTAATGTAAACTTTTACATTTTTAATCAATTAAAATACAAGATAGATATGTATGCAATTAAAAGTGATAATCCTTTTATTAAAAAATGATGCATTTATTATATTGGGAATATAAAAATATAATAAATATTATTTTTAATAAAAATTATTATACTTATATACCTAAAATGAATCCGAAAGGATAAGGTTTACAAATCTGTTGAATTTATTACAAATAAATAACTGTTATCAAAATTAATAAAAATTAATTATATATTATAAATTTATGTTATATTTTAAAAAAATAGCATTAAATAGTCGAACTAATGACTTATATATTCATTTAATGAATGTATCTAGGCATATAAGTAACAGATAAATATTTCGATAGCACAAATTTTATAATCAATAAAAGTGTAAAAAAATTAATAATTAATATATTTAAAAGAGTTTGATTTATTATACTATCAGTCTAATCAATTAATTAGAATATAATTTTTATATTAATTATTGTAAAAATTAATTATGATTGTTGATATGTAATTAATTAGAATACAATACAATATAAATATAATTTTATGATTAGATGAAAATTAATACATTATAAATAAAAATATATACATGTTAAAAAAATACATTGTAAATATTGAATACATGTTAATAAAATAGTATTTTTTTTAACATATATTTAAAAATATAGAATAAATACTAAATAAATTTTTATTATAAAATATAATATTTAATATTATTGTGACTTTTAATATATTAAATTATATAAATTTTATAAACATTATTATATATAAATTTTTATCTTATGTATAAACAGATTGAATAAAAAATTGGTTAAAAAATCTTATTTTTCAAAGCGGTGAAAAACGTCTTCAAAACAGTGATTAGCGACACCGTTGTTTATTCTTTAGCACGCTATTCTGATTAATAGCATTATTGTTTGTTATTTGTCACGTTCTTTGGGAGGACGATCAACTAACCTACGTTCAACCCCTATAAGCTGGCATGATTTTATTTACTTAATTTTGCATTGCACGGCAATGGCTTCATAAAAGTACCTAAATAAAGCATTAAAGTTGCACCAAAAAAGGGACAGAAAGAGAGGTCAGTCAATTAATTCTCTGTTCCTTTCATACGAAAGAAAACAAGGACAGAATAAAAGAAATTTGGATATTTAGAAATAAACTTTTTTTCCATTTTGAAACTAAACAAAAATAAATAATAATAATTTATATATTTTTTAATCGTTGGAAGGAGAGCATAAAATTCATTTCAATGGGACCTGAATTGATTTTCCCTGAACAAAATAAAGAAGCGAAAGGGAAAGCATAGAGTAACTAGTAAGTAGAACCTACTGGGAACTCTCTCTATCTAATGGGTCACGAGTCACAGCGTCATTAAATGACATTGGCGTGAACCAAATCACAAGGGACATCACACCAGGGTGGGATTCCCATTCCATTTCTTTTTCGTCCCGCTGAAATACAACGCACGCACCTCCACTTCTTCTTAAATACCTCAAACCATAAGCTTCTTTTTCTTCTCTCTCTCTCTCTCTCTTCAGGTTTGTTTGCTATTGATATTCATTCCTCACAAAACACTTACCACTGCGCATTTCCACCTACACTGCTCTTTCTCTCTTTCTCTGATTTCTCACCCTCGATCCGTTTCAGCAATTTTAATTAAATTCGCCGTCTTTCAATTTTACTACTTTTCCATTCTTTAGTTGCGACTCGTATCAGTGCTTATGCGCATCCTTAGATTTGAGACCTTAATGTGTGCTTCAGTTTTTTGTTTTATTTTATATGTGAATTATGCATTTTTGTACTTTTTTTCCTCTATTATTTTAAGATGATTATTTTGCTTCTTTAAGTCAACGTGGTGAAGAGTGTGTTATCAATTGTGATGAAGTGCGCTTTGTTGATTTGCAAGTGGAAGGTCAAAATAGGGTGTTGATCTCAGTTCTTACGTTTAGTTGGTCGTTCGTGAATCTTGAATGTGAATGGATCGGTTCGAGAAGAGAACAAAAATTGAGGTTGAAAATGTTGACCTTTGTGTGCTGTACCCAAAAACATGTCGGACTCGGTGATGGAAAACGAGTCACGATAGGAGGCTGTTTTTCAAATTTGTCTGTGTGCAGAAAAATCAGTCATTTTTTATGTTGTCAGACTAATATTGTTTATTCGATTAGTAAAGGGGATACACGAAAGTGCTAGATTGTTGATGCAGATTTTGACGAGTTTCGTCAATAAAAAATTGTTGAGAGTTTTTGTTTGTTACTATGTCTTAATTGAATTCCGATTGAGATGATGTACATCTGATTGAATACAGTACAGGTGGGATTATTGGTTTTGATTGGAAATGCTTTGCATCTTTTGGGGAAATGAGAACCATGTGTTTATTGAGGATAATTCATCTTTATGTGGATTTAGTTATTTTTGAATTCGGATTATTTTCCTGTCTGTGTTTTACCTTTCGTGATTATGTAATGTTGCAGATGTTAGGTTTGAAGAGGAGAAGTGATCTTATGTGAATATTTCTGCTGCAGGTAGGGAACTAGTAAATTTGGCAGCAACATGTTCCTTCTTAGAAGGCAAAGCCAGAATCAGCAGGAGAATGATTCCTCGTATCAAGATACAAAGGTGAGCCTCTTTGTTTGATTTGCAGCTATGTATTCTCATAAATTCCATATCAGATCTTGAAGAATCCCAAATGAAAAATAGCTGGTGATTTTGAGTGTGTTACATTTTATTTGTATGAATAATGGGAAAAATTTTATGGTTGTATGTGTGAAAACACATTCATGGGAAGCGTAGCTTTTATAAGCACCAAGTGTAACACATCTACAAACAGGTGGCTGAACTCAGAGCTGCTCTTGGGCCCCTCTCTGGTCGTCGATTGAAGTATTGCACAGATGCATGTCTGAGGCGATATTTAGAAGCAAGGAACTGGAATGTTGATAAAGCCAAGAAAATGCTGGAGGAAACACTCAAGTGGAGGTCAACTTATAAGCCAGAGGAAATCCAATGGGTTAGTTTGATTTAATCGGCTTTGATCCCCACATTCCCAATTGATGATCCCAAAAATGAAATCGATATCGAACATGTCATACTTGTAACATTGATCCATGTCATAAACAATTTGACATGATGGTATGTATGTTGTTTTATTCTTTCTCATGGCTGACGCAATTTATTTATAATTTTTTTCTATATTGTCTTTCTACTTTATAATCTTGGATTATAAATCAATACTTCAGTATTAGATTACTCAACATAAGGCCAAGAACATTTACATCTAAATTTCAAAATGTTACGGTTGATTTGCAGAGCTATACTTCTGATATCTATTGAGATCAAACATTAGCTTCAGAATACATGTAGTTCCAAAACTATGATATGGTACCTTCTGCATGTGTCTAATATCTGCATAGCCTGCAAGGACTAACTGAAAAGTGATACCCTATTTATGGATATTGCTCTTTCATGTAATATAAATCTGTATTTAGAATAAACTGACTTCCTATATCCAGGCTGAAGTAGCACATGAGGGTGAGACGGGCAAAGTCTCAAGAGCTAACTTTCATGATCGACTTGGGAGGACTGTGCTTATTATGAGGCCAGGGATGCAGGTTTGAACTGGGATGTACTTTCATTAGGGCTTACGTCTATGTGACTGGTGAACTTACTCTGTTTGATCTGTTTCCTTTTCTTAGAACACGGCATCAGCTGAAAATAATATCAGGCATTTAGTCTATCTGTTGGAAAATGCTGTCCTAAATCTTTCTGAAGGTCAAGAACAAATGTCATGGTTGATAGACTTCACAGGATTTACGCTTAATACAAACGTTTCTATTAAAACAGCTCGTGATATTGTTTACATATTACAAAACCACTATCCAGAAAGGCTTGCTATTGCCTTTCTGTACAATCCTCCTAGAATATTTCAGGCTTTCTGGAAGGTATGTTTCTTCTGCCCTGCTAGTGATATTTATTCTGCTTTTGCATGACATTAGTTAGCTTTTCTAATCGGAAGTTTACATTGGTATTGGTTTCTATTATTTATATTTTACTTTTAAAGATTAAGCAATACTTGGTTATCCTTCTTGCTTATGTAAGTTTTATTATGTTCTGGATCACATTTAAACTTTTGAACTCTTGAAAATTAGCCCTGTAGGTCGTGTTAATTCTTAATCTATTTTTCTTCTCTAGTTCTGTTGATCATGTAGAAGCATGAGTGAAGTAGGATAGTTTCCTGTGTCCCCCCTTCCCCCCCTGCTTGTGATTTCACACAAGGTAACTTGTTATGGTTATGATTGTCCCAGATTTGAGGTTGAGTTATGAGCTTTTAACATTCTCCTTTTCTACTTAACAAACAAATTTGAAGTTACTATCATTTTGATAGGCCATCAAATACTTCCTGGATCCCAAGACAGTCCAGAAGGTCAAGTTTGTTTATCCTAATAACAAGGAAAGTGTGGAGCTGATGAAATCACTCTTCGACCTAGATAACCTTCCAAGTGAATTTGGGGGAAAAGCAACTTTAAAGTATGACCATGAAGAGTTCTCACAGTTGATGGCTGAGGATGATGTGAAAACTGCCAAGTTCTGGGGACTTGATGAGAAGCCCATCAATACTAAGAAAGGGCATTCTGTGGCAGAGGTGGCACCGGAACCTGTAGCTGTTCAGCCAGTTAGTTGAATAAGCTTTCATATTGTGGTCGTTTATGAACTAAAGTAACTACACATCCAAAGTCGGAATGAACCAACAATTTAGTGGCTAATTTAAGGAGGTGAATAAGCGGTATTTTGAATCTTTCAACTTTTAACCAATGCAGTCAAGGCATTTTTATCATTATCGCTACTACAGTTCTTACGTCTGCAATTCTGATTTGATATTCCGACTCTATGCATGTGTCAATTCCTCTAGATTCTGCAAAATGAATTTCTTGTTATTTAAGTGGTTTGTAATCCAATTCAATCTAATATACATTATAAAAGTTGAACAAAAAGATTGAAAAAAATATATTATTGATTTGGACTGAACTTAGATTTTAAATTCAATATAATGCAAACCGAAAATATACACGCAATATACAAAAAAATTAGTAAACAATGCTTAACAACGTTTAAGAGAGTGTTTATTTTCTTTTTAAAAAACAGTTTTCTGTTTTTAAAAATAAAATTTAATACAAATTTATATTATATTTTAATTTTAAAAATAAAAAACTATTTTTAAAACAATAATCAAACATACCGTAACTATCTTGCGCCTGACTTTTGTGAGTTTGTCTATAAACAAATATATGTTCTTTCTTTTCGATGCCAGATAGTGTAGCATTCAAAATGTGTATATTAGACCAGCGGCACTTCATATATATTTTTTTATTTGGTTGAAAAAAATATAAAAAAAATTATTGCGAGAAAAATATAAAAAAGAAATCGCATTTCATGCTTTTAATTATGCTTGTTTTAATAAGAAAAACATACGAATAATAATGTTTTTTATTCAGTTGAAGAAAAATTTTAAAAGATAATTTTTAAAAATAAAAAATTCACTTTTTTTCCTCTCATTTTTCTTCAATTAAATTGTCGGTTTTTTTCTCATTTTCTTTTCACTAAACTAAACATAGGATTGGACCAAGTATTAATTTCATAATTTTTATGATTTTTTTGGACGAGGGAAAAGAAAACATGGATAATAATTTTTAATTTTATTTTTTGGTTGAAGAAAAAATGAAGAAAAAAGAGACAATTTAATATTTAAAAATAAAAATTTAACTCAGATTTTACCTTAAAAATTTCCCCTTCTAGTTTTTCTTCAATTCAAAATTTAAAATTTTCCTCTCTCATTTTTTTTCCCCCATAAATTCAATTTAATATTCAAATGAAGTTTAGATCTTGTACTCGTTTAAAGTAGTTTCATCTGTTTTTTTTTTTTTTAACAAAAACAAATGTTAGTCACTGTGTTTAGAATATTAGTTAAAGAATTAATTTAAAATTAATTTTTTTGTTAAAAAGTGTAACTACATACTTTTTTTTATTTTTAATATAATCTTAATATGATTTTTCATAAATTTTTATTTATTATTTTTTAATTAATATCTTAATTAGTTGGAATTTAACGGAAATGTTTCTTTGAATATTTCCCATGAATATTTAAGCATATATTAGATAAGGGATGAAATAAAAAAGAGGTTAAAAAAACTAATAAACTATTAAAACTTATGCATAATGATTATTTAATAAAAATCTTTTACGGTAAAAATTTTCATAATGAATAAATTTTTAATATATTTATATCATAGAAAATTATTTTACAATAAAATAAACAAAATTTAGAAGAAAAGAACGTAACTTCCCAATCAATTTCCCCCCTTTTTTGGGAAATTGATTTTTTGTACGTCTCATTTTTAGATTCTTTATCTTCACATAGTTAGAGCATAAAACAAGGAAAGGTGACTTTTTCTTTTACTTTTTTGCTTTTAAAAATTGTTTGAATTGGCGTTTAGAAGCCTACAATCAATTTTGTCCCTTATAAAATAATAAGCTGGTGGAATTTTATGTTTGCAAAAAGCAAATAACGTGAAACAGCATCGACAAATTTTCATTTCTGACAAAATTGATTAGAGTAATAAGTTCTAAATCACTTTTTTTTTTTTATTAATTTTATTGGGTTTTGGATCTGACTAGAGAGGAGTTTTATCTGTTTTTTTCCTTTCTTTTCTTCTAAATACACTAAAACAGACACGGGATAATGAGCACACACCATGATAGTGTAATACCCTAAAAAAGTACACTGTAAATATTAAAGAAAAATAGTACAAATAATATAACTCATACGTGATTCAACCTACAAAATTGATGAACTTTAGGTGCCCAAATGATTCATTAGAGTGTTGTGTTAATAAATAAATTTTTTATGAAAGATCAAACCATGATTTTCAATACATTGCTAATGTAATTTTTGTTAAAAAATTTCTTTTTAAATTTATTAACTAATATTTAAAGAACGGATTAGTATGACCTTTTGGAATATATTAAAGATTACACGAGATTTACGTTAATAATATTCTTTAAAGAATATTTTAGTTAGCATTTCTCTTAACATGTTTATTGTAATTTTTATGATTTATTTAACTTTAAATATAATATTTTTATCATAATTTTAAATATATAACATAGTAGATTATTTTAAAAATTATTTATTATATTTTAAAAAATTACAATTCTATATTTAAAATCAGCGTCAAAAGTAATGTTAATATTTTTATTTTTAATATATGTTAACATAATTTTTAAGAAACGTTTTTAGAAATTTATAAAAGCATGATTTTAAATATTAAAAAATATAATTAATATTTATTAACTATTTAAATTTAACTTCAAAAAATAATTTAATATTAGTTATTTTTAAACAAAAAATATCTATAAAAAATGGCAGTTATCCCGGTCAACCTGTGGTAAATCTTCTGTGAGTTGACGCTGTCCGATGTGGGTACCGAGTCGTCCAACACTGACATGCATTTCACACGTGGGGGCACCTAACTTTTAAATGCCCCCACAATATATTCTTCATAGCATCTGCTAATCATTTATTTAATATTAAATATGATTGAATGTTTATTTTAATTTTATAATTTTCTATATGTAATTAATGATACATAGTTGCAGAATCAATCTAAACTCATAAATTATGAATTAACGGCACAACCGTATCTAATTATTTTTATTTTTTTTGGTGAAAACTGCATCTAAGTAACAACCGTCACCCAGTTCTTATCATTTAAAATAATACTATTTTAATACGGTTTTGGGTTTCTATAACAGATAATATATACAAATTAGAAAATAATTATACTATAATTATATAGAGTGTTTAACATAAACATTCAAATCGAACATTAAAATAACATTAATTTTATTGTTTAAGAATATATTATAACTTGCAATTCATCTTAACAATTATATAGAGTTATATATTAACAGAATATTTTTTCAATAACATTATTCTTGTCAGAATATTTTATATTGTTTAAATTGCCAATTCTGTAAAAATCATTTACTTTTATAATAATTCATTTAAAACCTATACACACACTATATTTTAAGTGATCCACAATTTAAATTTTTTTATTATTATCAACATATTAAATGTCATGACCCTTTTTTGTAAAGGATTAATGACATTCTAAATTATTACTCTCAATTTAATTTTATTTATGAATTAATATAGGTATATTATAAATAATATAATTTTTTTTTAAAAATTGATTTTAACATCTAAATTAGCAAAATAATAAAGTCCTAAAGACATTTTTTCTTTACATAATAAAAAGATGATATGAGTGTATATACATAATTACAACAGTTGTTATAAATGGAGCTCAAAATACCAAGTTTTTGCATAATAATTATATCAAAATATTATATCTATAACCAAGTGACTTAGGTTCACACTAAAACCTCAACTACTAAAACTAAGCTACATATCCCAAAATTTTCGGCCCAGACTAATTTTTAACCAGATTCCCCAACATGAAAATTGGACACTCCACCTGTTACTCCTACTAAAGTACTATTGTACGATCATTGTAGCACACATAACAACACAATAAATGAAGAGTGAACTTATATGAATAAGAATCATAACTATGGAGTATGAATATATTAAAATTATTTATACAACTCATAAAGTTCACAATAATCAGCACAATAGTCACAATCAATTGATGCAGCATGTTCAGCCCATTCTCAGCCTATCTAATGCAAATGCAGGGATTCAGTTCCAGCTGATTTCATAGTCTAGGTAATCGAGAGGAATTGTTTCCAATCTAGGAGCGACCTATCCCGGTATCTAGATCCAGACAATTACAACTCTGTTCTATTCAGCTCTAGAATGATGAAGATGAATGTGATGCAGCACAGCTAAATCAGCATAATACAACATAGTTAAATCTATTCTCAACCTCAGCAATCTAACAATGCATACACTTGCATCCAACCTCAACAACACAGTCATACATATGTTCACAGCAAAATCAAGCATTTTCCAGTATTAATTAAGCATTTCATTACATATTACACAATGAAATTAAGCATATCAAAACATTAATTAAATATTTCTGCATATATTAACATTCTCGGCACATTTATCACAATATTTCAACACATCATCTTCCACCACAGCATTCCAAACATTTATCATATAGTAGAGAAGTATACTCAACCATATATACTTTGGGTTTTACCCTAAAGCTCGTTTATACAACGACTCATTCTCAGCTAAAACGAGATTATCTATCGCATAAACCAAATCAGCTTAGTTAAGCTCCCCTTACCTGGAACGAGTTATAAGATCATGCTCCTAGTGAATCCCAAAGAGATAGATCAAGTGTTTGGGTATGAAATACGGCTCAAATGGTCCAGATCTACTCAAAACAACATGGTATAAATCTCTTAAGAAAGAGAAAACAAAGAACAAGAATAAAGACAGAGAACTGAGCTCCAGAAACTCACCTAGATTTTGATGAGGTAGATGTTCTCACTTTGATCGGAAAAGAATTTAGCTTCGAGAATGCTTTCACTAAGGGAAAGAGGTGAGAGAACGTTTCTAGGCGTTGGAACTCCTTAAATACCCCTCTAAGCCTGCGCGCTCTCGCTTAAGTGAGCTTTTCTCTCGCTTGGGAGAGCTCTCGCCTAGGTGAACAAACTAGACAATAGAACCTCTCAAATTTTTACTATTCTCAATTGAGTGAGGAACACCCCGCTTAAGCGAGATGCATCTCGTCTGAGCGAGATTGAGTCCAGAGAGCTGTAACACCCCAGATTTTGTAATATAATTTGTTTATTAAAATAAGTG